CCCAGAAGGTCAGATTCTTTGTATACACTGAAGTTGCAAAGATAAACTGATCGTTCTCCTTAACCTCTCATTGTGCAGGTGAAAAAAGATTAGTCAACATGTTCAGGATAATTGGAGTGCTTGGAAGACAGTCACTCAGCCTCAAATTATGAAGATGATGTTAAAAGTAAAGGCTACCAAACCTGTTAACTTCAAGGAAATTTCTAATAACTTCTAATATCATATGTTTTTTTTTAACTAAGCCATAGAGCTAGCTTTTGGGTTTACTTTCTTTAGTCAAAGGTAGCAGAAATTCAAAATGTATAAAAGGAAATTTAAAAGTAGAAGCTGGAAAAATCAGAATGGAGGTAATCATCCAGAACATGGTCCCGATTTTGAGTTCAGAAGATCTATCCCTTTAAGAGAAGTTGAGGTTTAGCTAAAATAAGTGTGAACTTGTCATGTGGGCATGGTTACTCAGTTGTCTGTAGAACTGAACTCACACATCATACTGGAAAAATATATGCATGTTCATTTATTTTATCTTTTTTTAATTGCTTGTAATCAGTGTTTCTGGTTAACAGGTAATTCAAACTTTCGTTTACTTCATTCAGGAAGAGCATCACCTTTTTTGCAAGGTAGAAAATAATTGAAGAAAGTTTATTCTTTTGTTCCTTTGCAAATTACAGATTATACCGTCTGCTTTCTTAAAAGAAAATATTCGTCCTTCCCTTATTTTAGACAGAATGGCTAACTTTTGCAACGTAAATTAACGTTTGCTCATTAATTAAGCAGCCCTATTGACTGACTTTCACATGTATCTAATAAGCCTTCCGAAACAAATAGAATATGCCAAAAAAATCACCCCTTTCCCTATGGGAGGAGGTTCCTCAGTTATCAGGATTAATTAGTTCTCTTGTTGTCACATGAAAAGAAGTTGCACCCCCCAAAGTAGGTCAGTGTGAGGGTAGGCTGCTGATGGTCGCTTAGTGACAGGCACAATGATAAGTGAATGTGTTCTGTTGAGCCATGACCCTTCAGAAAAGACAGTGTCAAGTAAAATGCCCAGAGAAGGTATATAGAAGGCATAATCTGCTTCTAAATATTGACAGTAGGAATCTCCCTGCTATTCTCCTTCCTATTTCTTTTCTGGTAAACATGCCAAACTCTATTGCATTTGTACTCTGCATCAGTTTTGAAGCATTTCAAAATGTAAGGAAGCTAATGACCCATGAATAGATAGGATGTCAAATAAAGCTATTTTTCTTCAAGACTTAGCATTGTCCTGCATACTTGTAAAAGCAACAATATTGGCTCAAAAGAAGATCTTTTACTTCCGCTTTTTGTCAGTGAAAAACTAAATGAACGAATATATAACAAATCTGATGTTAGGTCTTGAATATTAATACGATTAACTACTGGAGTCAAGTGTCTAAAATGTACTTGGAGTCAATGATGAAACTCTGGCTTATATCAATGGGAGCAAAGTTAGACAAACACTAAGTACTCCTTAAGATCCCACCCACAATATTTACAAATACTGTGGTATCTTTTAGATATACGTAATATGTGTAAAAGGGCAAAAGCTTGAATATGTATCCAGTATATCTGGGGGGTTTTTTTGCTTGCAGGATGCGGTGAAAAGATCTAGTTTGGTTTTTTTTTTCATTTGATTTTAATAACTCTGAGGCAGATCCTCTGACATACAGGCTTCCAGGCTGTCTTGTTTTGTATGCTCAATTTAAGATAGATCTTGAGATTTTCATGTGCACGACTTTGCTTGTATCATCAGAGAGTTATCAAGAGAAAAGTTTGTAACATTTATAATGGTTTCTTGCCCTTCACCTTCGGCAGACTTTGAAAACAACAGCAGCCCACATTCCCAGGGCCGGTCTCCTGGTCTCCACATGGGTCAAGCATGGGCATGGTGCTGCATGGCTGGCTTTGCTCCTGGGCAGGGTGCCGGTGCTGGTGTTGAGCAAAGCCGAGCACTCAGCACCACAGTCATGACCAGGCACTGCAGACTTGCTGTCCTGCCTTGCTCTCAGCACCTGTCACTCACATGGATTTTCCACCTTTCCATCAGTTTTACACTGGAAGCAACCTACGTGTTGCTCTCTAGCAACTGGGTTGAGTGTTGCAACTCCAGCAGCTGGGCTTTGACTCGATGGGTTCCTCTGGCAGACCATTACTGATGTTTTTTTTCCTACACATTGAACTGTTTGTAAACACCATTGCGTGCTTTTCTAGAGCCCAAAATAAGGAGAAGTTCAGGGAAGCCTGAGGCCAGGTTCCCCGCTGAAGTAAGGAACAAGATTCATAAAGCTGGATATAAACGCTGCCTTCTTGGGAGAGCATCTGAGCCTCCAATTCTGGGATGACAAGAGGAATGCGAATGAAATGCAGGAACATGGTGGTTTCATGAAACTGTCAGATTGTTTATTTGGAAGACATCGACAAACCCTCTCAACTAAAGTGCCTGGGTTGCTCCTCATAGAAGCTGCCTGAACTCTTGTAACGTCTTATCTCAATTTCTCAGTGTTTAGCTTCAGGGACATTATTTCAGAACTGCAGATGAGTAGACTCATAGACTGTAAGCATCTATGGGAGACTATCCCATAAAAGCACAGTGCGCTATTTGGCAGACCCAGCATTTCAGAGTTGAGATCCTTAAATGGTAGGTGAGAAAAATGTATGTTAGCAAGATATCACATAACAAATTGCTTCTTCAAAGATCTGCTGCATCTTTTTTCTCCCCTCTTAACCTTTCCAGTTAGAAGTATGATTGTCTAGACAAATCGTGGAGGAAGTCTGTGTATTTGTACAGTATCACCATTCAAATTTCTGGTAATATTTGTGGTGCAGTTCAGAGGGCCTCTTTATTCTGAAAACTTGTTATGCGCTTGCTTGAAGCCTGTTTAAGTGAGCTATAATTTGGTTTATATCTGTGTCTAAATCTTCTTTTGAATAGGGATGGATGTTAGTATGTACAGGAGAACTACTGGAGCCACAGCTTAAATAAGATATACAGGGCTAAAAAAAAAATGCAGATCAATGTAACTAATTTAGATGCCAAAGATTAGATAAAAGTTAGTTAACCTCTACTATTGTTAAGGAAGAGAAACACGTCTCTGAATATCTCTAGCAAACAGTTTTGAAGACCTAATCCGCTATTTGCTTCTTTTCATGGATGGTACTAGGTAGTCCCAGAAGGTGATTTAGGTCTCTTGTCTCCACTGATGTTATAAAGAATTAGTAGGAAATACTTACTGACAAATGGACCACAGCTGGCTCCTCAAAAAAGACCCCCAAAACCAGCAGATGAGGGCAGTGCGTCTTTACCTTTTGTACAAAATCCTTGTACTTTCAGCATCTCTCTCCAAAAGTGGAGAATTGGCTTCTAGGCCTTGCTCAGACTGAAGGAGTTCAAGTCCACATCTCAGAACAAAGTTTTGCCGTTCAGCCTCTAATCTGAGGCTACATCTGGGTGCTGCTGGGTGAAAACTGCTGAATTTGGAGCAACCATTGACTTTGGAGGGTTTATACAGCCAAAATTTAGTCACCAATCTCAGCCGGCATTGACGTCTGAAAGTTCCTTCTATAGTCAATGAAAGAGGGAGGCTTTTCCAGTGGGTGATCCACAGCAGCCAAATAAGAATCACGTATTTCTACTATATTTGGTGCATACAGCTGTTCATATTTGCTTGTGGCAGGGACCTCTTGGAAGGTCTTAAAATAGCTAAACTGAAACTGTACTTGACTGCGTTCTAGTGGAAAATCTGTGTTACCCTTGTTTACGTGATGCTACTTCTCTCGTATGTTGACAAAGAAATACTTTCTCTTTGGAGTAAAGTTATCTTGGGTACTCTCTGCTTTTCTGTCGCAACACTGAAATCTTCATAAATTGCACTCGGGTCCAGATTTAGACGAAAGCTGTTTTCAACTTTAACTTTTCAAAAGTTTCAAAATATTTGCTTGTTACGTCCCTAGCTTCTGGAACACTTTGCTGTCAGTGTGAGGGCAATGGGATGGATCAAGGACTGTTTCTTCTCTAAGGCATGCATTTCTGTCTGCTTGCCATGAAAGGTTTTGTGGCCATAGCCTGTTATGGGGCAAAGATAAAACATTATGCCTTTCCAGCACTTGATGAGAGGGAAGGTCTGGTGTTCCTCTAGCCTTCTGACCATGGGGCTTTTTCATGGACTTCCTAAAAATTGCCTTCACAGGGCCTGTGAGAAGCCTGCCTGGATGTTTTCAAGTGTCCTAAGCCACCTCATGTTATACTGACACCCAGGGTTTCACCCATACCAGAATGGTCTGGCCATGACCCCGGCCATGTTGGAGTGTTTGGTTTCTCAATAAGGAGCAAATCTGGTCTGGAGGGTGCCTTGAACTTGTTCTCAAAATTTATTGTAGAGCTGTCCAGTTACCTTTTGACACCACTTCACTGCTAGGAAGCCTGCAGTTAGTGAGGGACCGTAGGTAACAGTGCTGTGACCTTCAGTCAGGAAGGGAAGATCCTTAATCCCCTTTCACTCCTTCCAGAGCAGTTCCAGCTTTGCAGCAAGTTGTTTGAGTCTGGTATCTTAGAGGTCAATATGTGGCTCTTGCCATGGAAGTGGCTGACTTTTGCCCTTCCCATTGAAGGGGCTGCCATGGTGGTGTTTCCTAAGGAAATGCAGCCAGCAGTGCTTGAGGGCACGCTTCCTTGGTTAGATGTGTAGCCACAAGGTCCTGAACTTTCTTCATGGTACGCTCAGTGAACAATCTGAGAGCAAAGTCATTGACCAAAACTTGCAGAGCTTTCATTTCTACTTTCTTTCCTGAATAATTCTCATGGAAGATTATGTGAGTCCTGAGTCAGGACAGGAGGATTATGCTCAGAGCAAAAGAATATGTGTGGTAAGGGGGACATCCCCCTTTCTTTGCTTTCCCCTTCCAGTATAACATCATAAGTGTGAGTGGACTGGGAACAGGATGATTTGTCATTGTTAACATTTTTTTTTTCTTTGTTTTTCTAGGATCTAGTTCAGGATCAAAATTAAAAGTTCCTGAGCTGAGCATAAATGGCATACAGCACGTTGTTCAAGCAGGCCAGACTTTAAATCTCACCTGCAGGTAACCAGCTGAGTTGGTTTCTGATAATTTGGCTGGGAGTTCATACACCTGACACTTTCTTTTTTTTTTGTAACTGAAATTAGAAAAAAATGAAACCTTACGTTGTGGGGAAAGGTGGGGAGTGAACTTCAATGGCAATTGTTTAATAGTTCTTTGTTGTTTCTGTTGTTGTTTTTGGAAAACAAGATAAAAGAGAACCCCAGAAATAGCCTGATATAATAAAAAAGAAAGCTTGGGAACTGGAGCTATATAATTGTAGCCCAACATAATTGTTTCTGCTTCCTTATCTGTATTTGCAGGGGGGAAATGGTTCATTCATGGTCTTTGCCTGAAACTCTAAGTAAGGATAGCAAAAGGCTGAAAGTAATTAAATATGCCTGTGGAAGGAATGGGAAGCAGTCCTGCAGCAGTCTGACCTTGAGCAGAACTCAAGCAAGTGACACTGGAAACTATAGCTGCAAATACCCAACAAGTCCAGCGAAAAAGAAGAAGGAATCTACAGTCTATGTATTTATTAACGGTAAGATTACGTTTTTTAACACTTCCTGGTACTTGCACTTCAATGCAGCAAAATGGATAAATAAGGCAGTTCAGCTGTGGTTAAGTACAGGGTTTTGAATGATATTTTCAGCCTTGCAAAATGTCATGATAATTTACCAATTAATGTATAAAATCTGCTTTCTCAGAGCTTGCAAATACAAATGCTAGTGTTTTATCTGTTAGGAAAAAAAATGAAGAAAGAAAAAGACCCAATCCAGCCAGTCTGCTAGAGTAAATAAAACTCCACATGGAAGTAGACTAGAAGTGAATCTGTGAAATGGGTATCAGAGAAATCATATCTTAGAGAATCGGATGATGACTGATGAAAACCATATATCTGGTATAATGTCCAATTAAACCTGTCTGTGTAAGATTATAGATTTCTAGGCAGCTGAAGAATGCCAGAGCTGTCTATCCAGATCACTGAATTATCTCATGCTGTAGAAAACTATTATTTGCGTGTTAAGTCACATTCAAAAAGGTATTCTGTAGTTCACATTACACAGATTGTAAAAATCTAGAATAAATGGAATCAAACTAACCGTAGAATTGTGTTCAGCTAACAAGTATTGTGTAATGTATGGGAAATGCTGTAATTAGGTCAGTTAGGCTATAACAGAAATTGCTTTCTGATCCTGTTTTCTTCCAGGATATTAATCAGACACTTCTCAGAATGGTTGAATTCAATAGACACAATAATAAAAGAAGAAATTGTAAACACTTTAGGGATTTAATTTAATTTTATATTTTAGTTTTTCTTGATTTTTACAGAATAAAATTAATAGATTACTGTAAGATATCAGGATTCACGGATTTTGAAAGCCCATATTACAGAGAATGTGCAACTGGAAGTGTTCCAAATTATGTGTCTGCTGCTTCTAACGAGTTCACATCAGAGTGAATTAGCCTTTGTTTTCATTTTGTGACACGAAGAGTGGGACTGGTGCTGTGAAAAAGCAGAATGAAGTGGACCTCTCAATACAGCGATAGAAAATGAGATAGCTCTCCCCGTTATAGTATGTTGTTCTATTGAGAATTATTGAATAATTCATGCTGTTCATCCTGCTTTCCTTCATCTGAAATATACTGCAGAGTGTTTTTCTCACTCAACTGTTTTCATATAATTCACTGGATATTCAACTACAGATGCATCCATGGAAGTGTAACCAAAGTAGGGTATTCATTTAGTGACCAACATTTCCTGCTGCCTAGGAAAACTTACAGTTTTCTTGGATTACTTTTGCAAGTTTCCCATCATGGGATCTTCTTGAACCTCCCGCCTTGGATGTCATCTCTGTCTGAGATCTACCCACAATCCTCTCCATTCACCACATGAGAAGAGCAAGGATGGTTGTGACTCTGAGAACCCCTCTGCTAAACCCATTTTATGATATAAGAGATTCCTTTATGTTCTCTTGGTCTCTTTCCTGTTTGAAGTGTTAAATTTTCTGGATCCTGAATTTTTACAAATGGAATACACAACCAGTCTTTCTAACTCTTCACTGCTTCCCAAGTTTTGCTATGTAGCTTGCTTGCATCTGAAAGAGATCCTTGATTAGATGTATGTGAACCAAGGTTATCTGTGTAACTCACATGGTGATGGAAAAGAAACATATCATCGGAGAAATAGTTTTTGTACAGCCCTCCCGCCCCTCAATCAGTTAAGGAAGGCTGCCTGAGTGTCTTGGTTTTGTTGATTTTTCGAGGACATTCAGTCATTAAATGTTGATGTTGGTGCTGGAGATAGGATTAGATTACGTTTCTCCTCTTACCTTACTTGCCAAAAAAACAGTAAAATGTTTAAGAAACAAACCTGTATCAAGCTTAGATCTCTTTGGCATCTTAATTTTCTGAATTTGACAATCCTTTTGATTGAAAACCAATTTCTTAACACTTAAGTGTTGATTGTGTCCTAGTAAGCACATATGAGACTTAGGGTAAACTACTGATAACGAGGGAGGCTGCAAGGTAACTGCTCATTGAATGCCTGTTGAAAGGGTCAGTCTGCCCTAAGATGGGGAAAGGTATATTAGTCCTCCAAAAATTCACAATTTCAGGAAGAATTGTTGAGTAGGTTGAAAAGAAAGAAGATACCACGTACCAAAACTCAGCCTTTCTGATCAGTGTAGCGTTAGCATTTGGAAAGAAAATACTTGAGGAATGTCTTAATATAAGTCATTGTTTCTGTGAACATGCATGAAATTCAATTATCTGGCTCAAGTGGGTGTGAGATGGGGATAAGAAAATGCTCTGTGAAGACTACCTTTCTTGAGTTTTGTTTTATTTTAAATGAATTTGTGGGTGCTTAGGAAATAAACATTTGTAAAATTTGGGTCCCTCCTAGTTTTGTATTGTTTCCTGTGGCAGGACGTTGTGTCAGTCCATTTCCCATATTAGCTCCATGTGGATCACCGAGGTGCCTGTTTCCCATGTCTTAGCATACTGCAGATGAGAACAAATAGTTGCTATTTACAAATACAGAATCCGAATCAGGAAAGTTGATATTGTTTGTACGGGAAGTCATCACTTATTGTTTTAAAAATGTTATTCATTTCCGTAATTAGAGTGATACTGAATATGAACTGGATTTAAAAAAAAAAAAACAACAAAAAAACCCACCCCATTAAGTCCTTTAGTTCAGTAATGAAAGTGTGTTATGCAGAAGATGAGCTTCTATAGACAAAATCAAGATGCAAGACGATGAGTAGGAGACTGCAAGTCCCACGTGCCCCAGGATGACTTGAAGTATTTCTGGAGTCCTGTGTTTGGGTGATCAAGAACAGGCAGGCTGGTGACACTTCTTTCAGGAGCTAGTCCTGGCACCACCCTTCTTTCAGCTGGAGAGGTCACTACTGAGTTGCACAGGGGAGTGAGTGCGCAGCAACTCTTGACCACACACAGCTCAGGAATTGAGACATCAAGCGAGGGAAATAAACTCTCTTAAGAGCCTTGGACTTTGCTCTAAGAAAACTGATGGCCTGACTTCCACCACGAGCCATGGGAAAAATCTGAATTGAAGCAAAGCCTCTTTGCCAATTTCTCCACTGTCTCGGACGGAAAGCTGCTCTGATCTTTGTTTTGTTATGCAACCGCAGCCTAGTAGTAAAATGGAAAGATTTGTAATGAACACTCACTGCGTACATTGGAGTGAGGCATGGGGAATTTTCTGCTTGAAGAGATAATTATGGAATAAAGGCATTTAAGAAACACCAAATTATCAGCAGGCTGTTTTGAAAACCTATGTAGATTTCCCTGGGGACAGTGCTAAAGGCTTTTCTTTCTGCCTGCCTTTGTTTTGGTATCTCCAAGACACTCTCTTCCACTTGCTGGAGCTCATTCACTTTCTTCAAAAATGTCCAGTTCTCTTCATTCTCTACTCTCATCATCTCTTGCCTTTGATCTGTTGTTCCCATGGTATGACAGAGGAAAAGCATATAAGTTCAATTACATCGATATATCAAGGTTAGGTTTTTGCAAGAGTTTAAACAAAATTTGGTTCAAGTTGAAGTGTTGCTATTTCCTGTGATGAAGACAGCTTTCAGCTATTAATATACAAAAGTAATGTCTTAATTCTGCTGCAACAGCGAATTCTTCTCTAAGTGAATTTGTACTTGGCTTTAGGGTATTAGCCCATTTCTTAGTCAATGTTCTCCCTCTCCTTGTCTCTCCTCACACTCCTGCTGTGCAGGTCTTCTGACCGCCTACTTTTCCTTGCAAAATGAGACACGTACTGGTACTTCAATCAAGCGCCATTCAAAATATTCTGTTTTAAAATCAGACCTCTAGGCTGAGTCAGTTGTCTATTCTCTTTCTGTACTTAACAGAGAGAAAAAAGTACCTTCTGGTACTTATTTCTCATCACTGACTTTGCAAGGAATCTGGAGAACAAGCTTAGAATAGATGTCTTGCTTTGAGATGATTTAAATCAGGTGAGACAAATCAGAGCTGGGTAATTAAAGGTACAAGTCCTGAGAGTACTTGTACTCACCAATACCTGGAATGTCAAACATGTCCACTAGTGTTGGATATTTGGCTTGAGATGTGTCTCAGGTTGGACAGTCCAAAATGAAGGGCTTTGGCATTAGTGAATGGTTCAACATGTAAGCCTTTGAAGTGCCAAAACATCTGGGGTTTTCAGTGCATTTTCAAACTCTAGAGTTGTATTCTGCAAGTGCTGAGCATATGGCATCTCCTTGGAAGGTCTACTTGTTGACAGATAGCTGGACCCAGCCCCAGAATTGACACGGATTTAAGATTTAGCTTGAATGGATTGACTCCTGTAACCCTAAAGGTACTATGTTGCAGAACAGGGAGGGCATCCAAAGAGTTCCCCAAAAGGTCTCTTAAGATCAGAAGCGTCAAAGTCAAAATAATTCAACAGGTGAAAAAAGCAGTAAGACAAAAGACCCTGAAAGCTAACAGAAGGAGAGATTTTCTTCTTCTTTTTCCTTTTTCTTCTTCTTATTCAGAAATAATGTACTGACAGAAGAACCTGCTGAGGCCTGGGAAACTCGTCCTCCCCTGTGCCTTTTTTCGGTCTTTGCTTTTGGCACAGTTTTAACGTATGAGAAGTACGGTTTTGGCTTACACTGTCAGAGTCAATAATATGATAGCACTTCTGTTATGAAAAGGAAGCTAGTTGAAATTAAACTATGCTACAGCTGTATCAAGTATGCGGACACATTTTTAATGTCTAATGAGGTTCCTGTTACAAAACAGAGACCTCTAGGACTTGCTGACGTCAATCACCTATAATTGACGTGCTTTTGTCATTGCATGTACTCGGACTTCACGTGATAGTATCCTGTGTTGCGCGGAGCATGTGTGGACACCTTGGCAGCATCAAAGGCCATGCACTAAGCCCTCTGAGGTCTTTCTTCCTCACCAAGGCTTATAGCTCCTACTAAAACAGAAATACATTTCCAAAGATGAACCATTGTGAGGGAGGGATAAATCTGAAAACCTGTTCCTCATGTCCATTAGCCTTTCTAGAGATTGCTTTCTGAATGTAGTAATTGCTCTAGTGTGGATTTCCTGGATAATGTGGGTAAGAATATTTTTCCTCAGGAGTTTTAACTTTGTTTTATGTGTTATGGACCTACGTCGATGATAGCATAGTATAAATAGCCCCAAGGAAAACAAACAAACCGTGCCTAAAAATCACTGTACAATTATGCTAGCAATGCTTTGTGTCTGAATGTGCTCCAGATACAAAGTATTCTCCTCCTTTTTCTTTTTTTTTTTTTTTTACTGGACTTCTGTGTTATTAATTTATATCTCAAGTCTTCCTTCACAGTTGTGGATTTCCTGGCTAATGTGGGTAAGAATATTTTTCCTCAGGAGTTTTAACTTTGTTTTATGTGTGTTATGGACCTACGTCGATGATAGCATAGTATAAATAGCCCCAAGGAAAACAAACAAACCGTGCCTAAAAATCACTGTACAATTATGCTAGCAATGCTTTGTGTCTGAATGTGCTCCAGATACAAAGTATTCTCCTCCTTTTTCTTTTTTTTTTTTTTTACTGGACTTCTGTGATTATTAATTTATATCTCAAGTCTTCCTTCACAGTTTAGAAATAATTTGAATTTGAAGAGTACTATCTTACAGGCTAAGAAGAGGCAAGAGTGGAAAAGCCCTTCTTGCAGATAAGTGTTGTGCTTCCAGACATACAAAATGGTTTTGTTTTTTTTTTTCTTAAGGAATATAGACACCTACATGGGAGCAGGTTGAATGGTGCCTTTCCTAGGGCATGATTCATCTCATTGTAAAATAGATGTCTAAAACAGGTCAGATGAGTCCCATGGCAGAATTCCTCCTTTATACCCAGTGCCACCATTAACAGTTTGGCCACCTAACTCAGTGAGAAATGTCTATATTTTAGATGTGTAAGTGAGATGAGAGCCACTCTTGGTGTGCAAGGTTCTCCTTGAATTAGTTCTGAACAGCACTACTAATTTAGCTGGGTTAAATAAAGTTAGTTACGGTGAATCCCTACAATGGAAAGGGGAATTTGGCAATTGGCCCATTAGCTTTAATGAAGTTTGCATGTCTGTACTTTAATAAAGACTTTGGTCCTCTTCACATGCATGAGGGAAAAGGGTGTATGTGAATGTGACGAAACTGTTTTGGCTCTTTTAGCTTGAAAATATCTTAATGATGAGCCAAGTGTAAGTAGGTATTTTGGAAGAACTTCAGAGGACAAACTTTCAGAGATTTCAAGGAGCTCAGACTTTCCTGCAGAGACTTTTCTTCTTGCAAATGTATGTGTAAGTACTCTGACTTACATAGCTCAGATTATTAAAAATGAAACAAACGCAAGAAGAGTAGCTGAAGCTTGTGGAAATAAAGAACGTCTCCATCTTTTCTGAATTTGGCATTTCAGTGTTGGCTAATTTAGTTGTTTGTGCAAACCCCATAAATAGCCTAGACAGGTTACTGATACCAGACGTAATATTGCTTGTGTTAAGTGTCTTATCAAGCTTGTATCTGGCTGCCAACCAGCTTAATAAAAAGCTGCTATTTATGTTCTTTAACAATATAGCAAGTGACCTTCATGGATTTTATGATTTCATGAATGCTCTTTGTGGTTTCATGTTGATTGTAACTGAGAGATATTGTAAGGAACACAGTCAAACCAGCACACAGTCATTAATTCCAGGCACAATTTAAAAATACACTAAACTGACTTCTAAAGTAACCTTTAGCATATGCAAATATTCTGGCTGTCCATCTTTCATTTTGCTACCTTTGCAGACAGCTCTGAAGGAAAAAAAAATTTTTTTCAAAAAATAAGGTCAACCCTCTTAGATCTTCCATTCCAAATCCCGATGGAGCTGAACGTGTAGCTTGGATGTGGTTTTCCAGATAGGTCAATCCATGATGTTCCTTTTATGTCTTTCTGAACATAAAAGTGAGTGAAGCTGGCCCAGAAGACCGCTGGCGGGAAGTTAGGTCATCCCAGATGTGCTGCCAGCCAGCTGTTCAGGGAAGGATGGCATTTGCCTCCCCTCAGGAAGGAACTGAGAGGAAATGTAGCAGGAGCCACTGGCAATCGCTAGGGCTATGATGGGAGGGGCTAGGGCTATGATGGGAGGGAAAGATGAAAAAGGAAGCAAGGAATGCTATTATTTGGGGGACAGAAGGATTCCACATCATTGGCATACCCTGCCAACATGGTATACCTGCCCTGGTGCTGCTGTGGGTTCGGCTTTGCCTGATCCAGGCTGGTAGAGCCTGCACCAGATTCTGGTCTTGAGGCACTGAGAGTATCCCCTTATGGCCATTAAGACGGAAGGAGAATAAAATCAAAGGGAATCAGGAAAAGCCTCCACACTCACTATGAAAACAAAACTGTGCTAGGAAACATGATGCGTATTTCTTTTAATCAAAAGCAGGAAGACATTTGGAGCACTTGGGGCCATCGATTGCCCTCCGGCCCATGGCGGAAGTCCCCGGTGATGTCAATGGGAGCTCCGCACGCGAATAGCGGGGGCACAGAGACGCCTTGGTGTACCACTGCAGGGAGTGTACCAAGGAAGGCTGTGACTGAGCTTTAAAGCCTACCGAGAGCAGGCAGGGCGTTCAGTTGACTTTTATAGAGCACTTCATTGACTTCTCCAGGCACGAACGTGCATTTCCATTGAAGAAGAAGAAGAAAAAAAAGCCAAGCGTGGTGTTTCGTGCTCGTTTCCTGTCCCTGCCTTCGGATGGGCAGGAATCCTGCGAGGTCTGAGCCGCACAGCCCCCACAGCCTCAATATTGGCATCAGTCAGTGGTGACACTGTGTCTGCAGACAGCACCGGTAGTCCCCAGAACAGCTCTTCCTCACACTTGTAATGATCTGGAGATTATGATACAGGAAACTACTTTGCAAAGCTTGCTGGTTTTGGGCAGGAGCTCTTAATTTTGTGACAAAGACGAACGAGTCTTTGGGGAGTAGTAAATCCATTTGTCTGGTGATGTTAAGGGGCAGGTGACCTCTTCCTTGGCTGCAGCTCCTGAAAAACAAAAAAAGGTTCTTTTCACCATGCTACAAACAGGTTCATTCTTGGTCTTTCCTTGAATCATATTGCAGAGGAAACGTCAGCCTAACAAGTCCTTAGGGTATTTTTTATTACATACGCATCCTCTATTACTCATAAGTTCCTTTTGCGATCTCGGTGGACATTTAACACCTATTATTAAATAAAGCACTGTGGCAGTCTTTCATTTCAGAAAGTTTGTGTAACAGTTTCATTAAACCTCTTTAGGAAAACTTTTTCCGTATCCTGGGGTACATTTGAGATACTGTACCTTGGGATTCTCCCCAGTATAAATTTGAGTAGAATTTGCTTCTCTTCCTGTTTGATGTCTCAAACAAAAATATTATTGCATTTAATAAGTAAAGAAGATCCTAAGGGCAGAACAGTTTTATGACACTGGGAAGTGCAGATCATACTTTTGAAAGAGAAGCAACAGTAATGCATTTGAAGAACTACTTGAGTGAACATAGGTCAACGTGCAGAAGTCTGGGACCAGAACACTTTACTAAAGTATTGCAATTTAAGGTTTTATAAAGGGTCAGTCTTGCTAGCTTTACTCATTTCTTTTCCAAGAAAGATTTCCATTGTTATTTGTAAGATTTTTGACTGAGTTAAAATAATAGGATTTGCCTGAAAAAACATTGGAGCTGTAGATAAGCATAGAATTAAGATCTGAATGTTCCATTTTTTTAAGAGTTAAAAGCCAAACCTTATGTGAATTTTGAGGTAGTCTATCTGCACTGGGAGTCAGACCGAGCCTTCAGATCTGAACACCTGCAAAGAAGATTTGGAGCCAGAGCCTGTGGCTTGAGCCCCTCTTTGTTAAGTGGTCCAAACAATAGCAGCAGCAATGTTCCCTGTTCCCAGCGCAAGCTATTTATGACAATGCCCTTTGTTAAAGGGATTGTTCAAGGGACGGTAAATTACTCTGCCAAGCTTTAGTTATTGAGTCGAAGGGAATGAATGTTTTCCTGGCATTTTCATTTACCTTGTCACTTACAAAAGAGACATACTCGTATTGTGATAGTGGGAAGGAGAAGAATAATTAACCCTCGCGAGTCTGTATTCTCAGGGTTGAAAATATGGCTGGATAAACACAGTAGATTCTTTCTCCTGGTGAAGTCAGCGTTGAGTTTTTTCTATCAATTTCCTTGCAGAAAGCAGGAACATGTCCTGTTTAGGGGTTTCCTGATAAGTGAACTTCAGTCACTTCCCATCTAATTATTTCTCCTGGTGATAATAAAATAGAAATGCCCTGAAATAAGAAACACCTCTCTCAGCAGTAGAGATGATGCCGTAATGAGAAAAATGTACTTTAACTCTCCTGGATTTTAAAGAAGATACCAAAGTACTGCTATTGATATTGAGTGATAAATATATTTTCAAATATTCAATAATATTTTACTAAACTTTTTTAGATAAAAGTAAACAGAAGAGTGATTTGAGGACTTTGTCTAGCTTTCGTTACAGACAGGGTTAGTCAGTTCTTTCAAGACTGTATGCACCATTACAATTTCCATATGCTGTCTTAAGAGTTCAGATATTAACCTTTTCTTTTTCTTCTCTTGCAGATACAGGCAATCCATTTGTAGAGATGCACAGTGATATACCTAAAATAATACATATGACTGTGGGAAGAGAAATGATCATTCCATGCAGAGTCACAGCACCAAACATTGCTGTTACTTTAAAAAAGGTACCTCAATCCAAGCATGCTCTGCAAGTGTTATTGTGGATGATGCTTTTTGTTTGCTTGTTTACAACTATTGTAATGCTTTTGAAATATTTCAACAACTTAGTATTTCTTAAACAAGGTTTCTGGGTGTCAGTGTGTTTAGAAATATTTCAACCCTGGAGGCTTCGTCTTATATCTCACAGAAGGGCTTCATCAAATCTCTTACACTGGATGGGATTTTTCTGAAGAAACTTAAACTTTTCGTACCATTTTATTAAATTTTCACTGACAAAGGTTTCTTAAGCCCAGGAAGGAATTTCTTGTTAGGAGAAGAGATTTCCTCCCACCTCTTCCCTTCCTCTCCTTCTCTCTTCTGTCCTCTGCAACAGCCGGTAAGTGCAGTCCCTGGAGACTTGCTGGGGCTGTACAAGGATCTCTGAAAGCCTTTGCCCTACCTCACTCCCACCAGCGCCTTTGCTGCTTCTTTTTCCATATGAGTGCACTTATCATCAGACGGGATGACTTTGTAGAGAAACTTGTGCCGAGTTTGAGACAGTGGGGGCGGTTTTAGAAAATCTAGACATTTTTCATGTTTTGTGGACACCATTTCTTTCCCAGGTGCCTTGAGAGTTACACGGACAGCTAACTGACCTATATGTTTGTAGTCAAGTGCTTGGTATCAAGACAGGGAATGGTGCTTCTTTTTTGAAAGTTCCTTTTTTTGGCTTAAAAATTAGGTGATGTTTTGTTTCTAAATAAAGGGAGTTCTGTACATAGTGGCATAAATGTTCATCATTGTTACAAGAAAAATAAATTTGTCTTTTTATAGAATAACATGCAATTGCCTAACAATACCACCATAAGATGCTTATCTAGATCAATACAAATCTTTGATTCCTCTTTGACTATAAAGTTTTACACCAGCCACAGATTTGATCCTGTGTTTTAACTTGACCGAGAGGTTTACAAATTCTATCCAGTGCTGCTTTGCTGATATAGATACTGGTTTTGCCTCTTGGTTTCCACCTGTTAAATCACATGAAAGAAAGCAAAATGCAGAGAAAAGAAAGTAATCTGACCTAGGTTGTTACCGTACACACACACACGGTTCTCCTGCAAGAAGTGCACCAGGGTGGATGATGCACAAGATTCTGTGGCTATAGAATCAAAGGTAGATAAGGCTTGGCTTTCCATAGGGTGGATGTTGCAAAGTGGGAACTTATTTGGGCACTGTATTGTTGCATCTGAAATCTCAGCATATTAAATTTCTAACTGAGAAAATTCCTGTCATGTTTCTCTCATATTAAACAATATAAAAATATTTTTTTTCTCCTTATTTGGAGAAGATTGAGACGTATCTACTCTCTTTTTTCATATCAACTTGTCTTTAGCTTGGGGTTGTGGTGTAAGATGCATCTTTACACCATCAAAACCAGATGTAATACTCTGGGAAGGAGAAAGAGGAGGTGGAGCCAAGTCTTGAAAGAAAGGATTGGTTGCTTACATGTTTTGCATTCCAGGAAAAATAAATGTGTTCCCTAATTCATCCTAGAATTTCCTGAAGTATGTAAGCTACAATGTATTACATCATATCTTACTTTATTTATCATCTGTGACACCCATGTATGAAGATTCCAGCAAGTTTTTGCTCACATAGCAATTAAGAAATGTGTTAAATGCATTTCACAGCTGCAGGCAAACTACTTCTGGAGAGCTGGCAAAAGCTATTCTGTGTTTTCCACTGCAATAAAGGAAGAAATCAGTGTCCCCATAATGCAATCCTCTGGAGCTGGAAAGAAAATCCCAGCATTAGAGTAATTAGATTCTGTATTCTATATTGCCAGGAAGTCAAAATGTGGATTTTTTTTTTTGGTAATCTCTCTCTTCTGAAAGGACTTGGGACAGTTGCATGACTGTCCCAACTGGAGTTGGGACTCCAGCATTTTGTTCCTGCGCAGTGCTACTTCTTAGTTTTAGTGTACCAATGTGGGGAAGATTTATTGTCCATCTTTAACACTACAAATGATTTCTTTTACTAGAACTGCATCTTTACCTTAGTCAACCCTTTTGAGATACTGTGTTGCTCTAACTTCCAGGCTGAACGTCTGTACAAATTGTATTCTATAGCATGGCAATCATACACAACGTAGGAGGAGCGTTAAAAATCAAGAAGCTAATAAAACAGGGATTGGGCGATGGGGATGGAGCTTTTCATTCCTATTTCAAATCCAGCCTTCAGGTCCTATTATAACCTATACCTGCAACAGCTGATGGCCCTTTCTCTTTTTAATCATATGAAGACCTATGAAAACAATTGATAGTTTTGATCTAATGTTTAATAGACAGATATCCAGAGCCTCTGAAACCATCATTCCTATCAATATGATTCTGGCAGCCTCATTCAAGATCCCTAAAATAAGATAAACGTTACTGCAACTAAGGTATGTGCTTCTCTTGCCTCTTCATTTGCTCTTATCTTATTAAACAGAGAAAGCATCACCTTTTGGTACAATGGTTTGATCCCTCTGTTTACTCTCCTTTTGGATTCTCTGTCATAAAGTCAACTGACATTCACAGGAATAGAGGTAAATAAGCTTCAGCATAAGGAATAAAAAGAGGGGAAAAAACCCAAGGATGTTGAGAGTCACACACCTGGACAGTCTGAATTCTTAATAATGCCACCTCATCCTTCCCAAATTGATGGAATGGGAAACATGAAAGAAAAGACAAGCATTCAAAACTCTAATGTACATTTTTACTATACTTTCAGCTGGCTCTTTCCAATACAATCTGCCTTTGGAGATGTGGGGAACCACAGCTTGACTATATACTCTTGACCATGTGTATATACCCAAAACCTTGTGGTAGTACTGTGTAAATGCCACTGGGTACCAAAAAGGTTCAGTGGCTGGTGCTGAGCAAAGAAGGAGGCACAGCCTATACCAGAAGAAACTGAAGTCTAGTTTGAAACAAAGTACAAAGAAGGTAAAAGACCAAGACTGCACTGGGAGCCACAGTGATGTGGTTCATGCAGATAAGTATGTAGACAGTAAATTCCATGTTTACTGCAGCTGTTGCAACAAATTGATTCTTTGAATACTTCTGACTATCTGCTGGTATCCATCTGTAAGCTATTATTTTAGCTGGATTTATCCTCTGCTGCTTCAGTGGAAATCTCACTATTCCAGCACTGTGTTTCTTCACAGATTTTCTACTTCTCTCTGTGATGACAAATGGCCTAGTTTTTTGACAAGGCTCTGAACTACATTGGCCCTGCTCTGCATGGAGGATGGACCAGGTGACCTCTAGACGTCCCTTCCAACCTAAATTATTGTGTGATTCTGGGATCGTCTGTCCTGTACCATCCATGCAGTGATCATCACGGTGATGATGCCATGTCTCTAGGTGGTGGCCTGGAAGCTGGTTTAGGGCACAGCAGAGCAGCTGTGCTTATCTGAGAGTGGGAAACAGGTCATCTGAACCAGTGGGGTTGGCAGAGGAGAACAGAGTGGAGGAGAGCTGGGTAAGAAACCGAAGCAAGTAAAGAGAAAAGGTAGAGCTGTGAAAGGCTGTGAGGGTGAGCACCCAGCCACTGCTCTTTATCTCTCCGGAGACAAAATCCTGGTATCTCCACCCTCTGAAAGGGCCTTGTTGCAATATCTTGTTTCCCTGACTTAGCCTGTCACAGTGGTCTTTTGCTAGTCACAGACTTCAGTTTTCTAAACTATTCGGTACAGTAGATTAAAAATGTCAATTTATGTTTTCATGTGTGAGCGTGTGCAACTTTTTAGTCTCAAAGCTGCAAAAAACTACACAAAAAGATGTAGCTCTACCTGGTTTTGAGGGGTGTCAGATGAGTAAACTGTGCAGCCAAAGATCTGTCTCCGGGGCAGGTGAGCCTGTTGGATATACAGACAACCGACAGCATTCAGTGTTGCAAAACAGGATCATATTTATGAGCACTTTATTTCCAAGACCCAGACACTTCCTGGGTGTTTTGGTTACTTTCCCCTTCCTGGACTAAGGCTAATACAAATTCAGTAATCCATCAGTTAACTAATTAATGTGAAGTGAATGCATTCCCTGGGAAATATCAGTCTAGGGAGGCTCTGAAGCTCTGACTTGACTTTCTTCATGCAATATATACCCACAGAGGAATACACTCAGAAATAGTTTGGTTTCCACCAAAGCAGCAAGAGGATAAAGCTCTTGAAAACATAACTATGAACTAGTTAAAACAAAGCTTGAATATTTGTTTTATTTACATCAGGAATGGCAACATCTCTCTTGGAGTCCAAGATAGTGTTGTAATGTAATGGGCTTTACTTGTGTGTGTGTGTGTGTGTGTGTAACACACACTTCCCTGTGATTTGCATGCTTATTATAGCGTCTTATCAGCTGTTGTAAAGATAAGCAATTCTACCACAGCATTTTGTGCTCTGTAATTATTGTTCATTTGATTCATCGTGCATTTTTGTCGGAGGAAATGGCATGAGATGAGTGGAGGTGATCTCGAGGGCAGCTTTTGGCATGAGCTGAGCAGGCAGCATCGAGGGTGCCGTGTTTTGGAGAGACACTGTACCACGCAGGAAGGTGCCAGCTAGCCATGCTTCCCCCAGCCACTGGCAGCCACCCATGCTGGCTTTGGCTGTAGGAAGGAGAGGGCTGGCCAGCATACAAGTCCTCTGCTCAAATAAAGGGGAAGGAAGAGATGAAGGAGGCATAGTGGGACTGGGTACACCGTGAGAGGTGATGGGCTGCGTGGTGCTTGGTTGACCCAGAGGTCTTTGCTTGGGGCACTAATTCACTCAAACTCTGCTATGTGCCATCTTTAAAAATATGTTATTTTTACCATAAAAGCAGGCTTTATAAAAGTAGAGTCACATCCAGGCTTTGTACTCATGGCTGATCTCTGTGTTATCCAAATGGTGGCATTCATTCCATTGATAAGGCATAACAAAAAACCATGATGTGGAAACAAAAGGTCTTGTCTGAGCTTCAATGCTTATGTCATGCTTTGCCTTTTCAGGGTTTTCTTGATACCTTATTAAAATGGAGCTTAAAACTCAAAGGATCCTAATGTAAAGTATAATTTGTACTGATGACAAAGTGAACACTTGATCCCACATGGCAATATTTTAGTCTGTATTTAAGATTTCAGGTCTTAAGTTTAAAAACACCTGATGGCTTTACACTAATTACTTGTTGGGTCCTCAACTTCTGAGAGACTTAAAAGTGCCAAACTTTTAAAATGTGCTGAGTGCTTTTTCTGTGGAAATGTGATGTACTCAGTGTTTCAAGGTGTCTTTTCAAAATCTCTAGTCAATATGACTTTCCTCATTCAGTACGATCAGTAGTTCTCAATAAAAGTGCCCAAGGAAGATTTGTGACTTTAAAATTTGCAGTTGTTGTATGTAATGACTTAGAGACGTGTACTCTGTGACTTGTCAGCTTTGGAACAGCCATTCATGTCCTTAATTTTTTTTTTTTTTTTTAAACAGTCCAGTTCTTTAGACAACGTAAACATGAGAAGCATCAGATTGAATCCTGGCAGAAATTAAAGCCACAAAATGACAGCAAATTAAGTCCATTTGTCACCTCCATTGAAAAATGTGTATTTGTGTCTCAGTGGTGAAACCAGGATACTTAATTGCAAAGGTTCGCCGAGACAAGCACTTTAGCTGCCAACCAGGAGCCAACAGAATGAGCAGCCCAAGTGCTGAGGCTAATGATAGTGTCAATCTATTGTGTCATAAATTACATCCTGTTATAAATAATGAAATCTTGGAAACAAATAAAACATTCACATTCTTCACCCAGGTTTTTCCTCTATTTTGTGATGAAAATGTGACTTGAAAAATCTGCATAATCCTTTCTACTTTGATTGGCATTTTTAGGGTGTTTTTTTCCCATTCCTTTTTATTAGGCTGCTTTGATTAGAGAGTAGCATGAGGATGAGTTGTTTTTATGATGTGTGTTTGACACTTCCAGATTCCACGAGAAACCCTAATTCCTGATGGCAAGACAGTAATCTGGGACAGCATGAAAGGCTTCAGAATACCTAAGGCAACCTACAAATTCATAGGGCTCCTAAGCTGTGAGACAACCGTCGGTGGACACAAGTATAGCACAAAGTACTTAACGCACCGAGAAAGTAAGTAATGTTCTCCACTCCCTGTCTTTCAGAAAGCATCTGCCTGTTGACGTTATTCACTTTTCTTTCTCTTCGTCACGTGCAGCCAACACAATTTTTGATGTTCAGTTAAGCACCCCACGTCTTGTCAAGTTGCTGAAAGGAGACAGCCTGGCAATTAACTGCACTGTCACCGCAGCCTGGAACACCAGAGTGCAGATGACGTGGACTTATCCTGGAGAGGTGAGTGCTGTGGTTGAAATTAAGAATCCGGGGGTTTCCCATAGATTATGCTGCATTTAGCATCCCGGGAGGAATTTTTCCTTGAAATGCTTGCCGTGGTTCGCATTCCATCGTTTTGACCCTTGCTGACATGTATTTAAAGGCTTCTTTTTTTTCCTTTCTGGTGCTTAATTGAATAAGTAAACATGTTTACACAATGTACTCTGGTTATATTGCATAATTGTGAGCGAACGCTAGAGTTGTTTCATCCCTGGGAGCTTCTTTTCAACCTGGAGAAATGGTAGAAATTTATCACCCAGTCCCAGGCAGGGGCTCTCTCTTGTGACAAAAAAGTTTTCAGTGAGGCTGTCTTTCTCAACACATTAATTTTAAAGACTGGCAGACAGTCAGGCACCCAACTCGAGCATGTTTAGAAAAGATATTTGGATTTAGCTAGCCAAAATCTCATTTGTTAAGTGTCACATGAACAATCCTCTTGTTTTGACAACTACAGGAATGATCTTGAATGTGCTTCTCCTGCCCCCACATTGGGAGCATCCTCATAAATATTTGTCGCTCACAGAATAACTGCCAGGGAGTCCGTGTAAAGCTGATAAGAAATTTGACATTAGTTTAAGGTTTACAACTCCCATTCCTTTCATGTCAGTTTGATTTATGCTGGTGATTCAAGTCAAGATCATTTATTATGTCACTCATTGTGCCTAATCACAAGCTGAAATTATGATTACATTATATAGGGAAGATTAATGCAATCATTTCTTGTATACTGTAGCCATTTTCCCTGGCATTTTTTCACCTCAGAAATAAACAACTTAGCAACAAGAAATGCTCCAAATATATTATACTGCTCATTGCTGCCTTACCAATCCCTAGCCAGGTACTGCATTTGTGAAATTCTGCTTTGTTTTTATTTGGATGGTAACTGAAGGGTGCTCAGTGTTTATAAGACACCAACGATGTCCTGGGTTAAATAAACTTTGAGGCCAAAGGCTGAGGGGGAGTTGCAGGAAATAACTCCTCACTCCCATTATCTTCAGTTCCACCCTGTTATTCCCTTGCCAAATCTAGTCTCTTTTCCGACTATAGCATTTCCAGAATTCTCCCCTTCTTGTATTAATGCCCTTTTCTTCTATACGTCTGCTGCCTATGGACACTGAATCCAGGCACCAAACTATGTGCCAGTGACTCCAGGGATTTTTATGAGCAATGCTGGACAAGGCGCAATGGGGAGCTGGGCGTGTTGGTATGGCAGGCCATACAGAAGGGATGATCTTTGCCTGGAACGAACTAGTTTAGATGCTATTACAACTTTGGTGAAGATAGGAATGAATTTCCATATAATGTTACTTCTAATTTTTATTGTTTACCCTCTGGAAATGTTAGGCGTCTTTTGCATGTCTGTGCTGTACAGAGGGATCTGGATTTTTTTTATTAAGGTATGGTGGCAATACAATAAAATAAAAATCTTAATAATAATGAAAATTGGTTTGATTAAGCTCTTTCTTGTTCATTTTTGCTTTCATAGGCAAGGAAGAGAGGTTCTGTAACACAGCGCATTGACCAGAAGAATACAGAAGCCAACATTTTTTACAGTATCCTTGTTGTTGACAAAGTGCGTGATATTGATAAAGGCCAGTATACCTGCCATGTGAAGAGCGGGCCATCAATCAAAGCTGTTAACACAACGGTCATTGTTTATGGTAAGAAATGTTGCAGATCTGTAGAATACTGAATGCTCATGTACCAAGTTCAGTCATACGATAGCTTGACACAAAGTGGAAGTGAATTTATAGCACGTTCATCACTGGTAGAAAAAGGAGGGAGACCAGAGAGAATATGTGCCTTTTCTTCCATGACTGTTTTGTATTGTTAGCTGTAGAGATGTTAATGTTCAGTTTGATCACTCTTGTCTGCTAACTACTGTGATGACCCTGTCCTCAGTCAGTTCTGGCAGAAGCAATTAGTTAAAATGTAGTTTGGAAAGAAAAAAAAAAAAAAGTACAAGCTGAATTTAAACAGAAGAATTCCTCTTCTACAGTACTTGTTTATTGTTTCCTATGTAAAATGAAGAAGAAATAAATACACTAGCTCTACATGGAGCAGGTAGCTGCCAGACCATTCAAAAAACTGAAACAAGCACAAGATACTGCAATTTATTAATGTGGTTTTACAGTTGGAGCCTTAAATGAGTTCCCTGTGGTCTGCCTGGGCTTCCTGTGAGATACGGAAATTCCTTGTGTTATTTCAAGCTTATGTGAATTAGGACTTTTGTGCATTGGGACTTTATAAGAAGCTACCTTCTTTGTGGCATCCTGTCACCATCAGGACTATCCAGGATCTTTGGACCATCATTGGTATTAATGACCAAGTGGTTGGCAGGTGTCCTCTACAACAGATGAGTCATGGTCAGAATATTGATTCGTTCTGTGTTTTCAGTGGTCTATCTTTTCTTTCTCACCTGGAAATATGGACTAAGCACCAGATGATGGTATTCTTAGATGGTATTTCAGTCCATTTTCTCTGTTTAAACCTTGGACTAAGTCACTAGGAACTAGTGACTAGGAATAAGATGAATCATGATATCAACTTCCTACATTCTTAAACAGATAAGTCTGAAGCTATCAGAAACTGAGTTTTAGATTAAAATCGAAGTCAGAGAAGCTGGAACTGTTGAAGCTAGCCTGTAAATTTCTTATTCTCTTGAGCAGCTCCATCTATGGGATACCCATATTAGAAAGATCCTGTGTGAATCAGGGTTGTATCTTTAATTATAACCTGACTTGTGTAATTAAACTACTGATTTGTCTTGTGCATGTTATTTTCAATGTACATGGCAAGTGTGATTAAATATTGCACTTATTTAATAGATATTCAACATCCTTATGCAGTCCATAATGTGAGTAAATATTGCACCATAGGTACTATCAAAAGGGCACTCAAACAATTTTTCATGTTTTGAAAGTTTTATTTTGCTTAAGTGCATTTTGGAAAAAAAAAAAAATCAATATATTGTACAAAAATTCTGTTTTATTGTCTCTGGTTAAACCCATCAACTTGCCAGAGAGTTTGAAATATGGGGCAGTACAACTGGAAAAGAATGAATTCCAGCAGGTTGAGATTGTTCCAATGAAGTGATAAAGATTTGTTTGTTTGATGAAACAGCTGTTTACCAATGATACAGAAAGTTTCTGCCTTTTCCTTCGTTGTTTCTTTGAAGGTCCCTTAAGTCCTCTCTGGCAGAATATTTTCTTTTGGAACATTCATTGATTCTTGGCCTTTAGAGGTGGAGTGGTGATCTGCTCATCTAGTTCAGCTTCCCATGTACCACAAACCATCTTTTCTCTCTTGTGTTGAAGCCAGTGCTTTTTATTCTGACTGAAGCACAATATGAATTTTGGCTAGAGCGTATCTTCTCCAGCCAGATTCATGGCCTGGGAACTGTATCTGTTTCTTGTATATTTGTGGTATTCTTCTCTGTATTTTTTAGATCTTTAGAAGGTTAGGTTTTATTCTTGCTGTTGCCATGTGGGAACACCAAAATTATTGAAGATCATTTTTAGTTGGATTCCTGTTCTCTTTAGTAGAGCAACTGTTTTTGCAGGCTGAAAAATCAGTAATATAGGTGCACTCTTTTTCTTTAAGATAAAATGTTCATTAATTTGAAACGTCGAAGAAAAACTGCGCTGGAGGCTGTCGCTGGAAGAAAATCCTATCGTTTGTCAATGAAAGTGAAGGCGTTTCCCTCTCCAGAGGTTATATGGTAGGACAACAGTTACTTCCATATATGTACACTGGACCCGTTCTTAGTTGAAAAATAGTATCTTGGTAAAATATTCAGATAAGACCCCTTGAAATGACAATAAACTGGAGACCATACAGTTATGGAGTCTTATTGGAAGTTTCAGGGTTGTCCTGGGTTTTAACAATTTGCTGTCTCCATTTTGCAAGTGCAGAAAAGGAGGTCTGGAAAGTTTAAAGCTCAGATCCTCAAATATGTTAGGTATGTCTCCTATTGAAATCAATGGACACTCTACAGCTAAATATCTCTACCAACCTTGACTGAAGTGTTGCATCCAACTTCACTCTAGATATGAGACCTGAACTTGCTTTTCAGACAGGAGAAAGAAAAAGGGGGCTTTCATTAAAATAACTGAGTTGAATCATACAGATATGCACTATTAGAAAAGCAGTGGAATTTTTTTTTTTATTATATGGTGATCTGCAGGTTGTAGATTTACTTTAGTGAGTGGAGCTTTCACTTTGGCTCACGTATACTGTGCTAAGAAATCTTTCGAACAGTTTTTTTGTATTAACCCAAACCACTTTTATATAAAACAATGTTATCTATTCATGATCTCAGGTTGTTGGGGTTTTTTTTTTTAATTATTTTAAATACCAGTAGCTCTGGCTCAATCCATTGCACTTTAACAAAGGGTCTATGACAAGACTGATTAAGAAAACAAACCATACATACATGAACAGTGAGAGTTCATGTTACTCACAGCCAGAAATTACTTTTGCTCCAAACATTTTGTTTTGTTTTACAAAACCCTTACATTTATAGCTCCACGTGGAAAGTTAAGGAGCGAAAGTGAAGCTGATGCTAGCCGTTTATACAGTATTTTCTGTTTCTTTAATGGTTGGGCTTGTTGACTACACATATAGATCCAAAACTTCTGAAATACAAAAAAAATATATTTAAACAAGATTTTTTTTTTTTTTAATTTATCACTGTGAGGTTGGTCAAACACTGGAACAAGTAATCCAGAGAGGCTGTGGAGTCTCCATCCTTGGAGATATTCAAAACCAGACTGAAAATGGTCTTGGACAACCTGCTGACTTTGCTTTGACCAGGGGGTTGGATTAGGCGATCTCCAGAGACCCTTTCAGCCTCAACTATTTTGTGGTTCTGTAAAATACAGATACAGTGAAATGCCTAAATCCATAGTCCTTAGATCCAATTTTTAGTGCTCCTCTAACAACTGTAAGAGTTTTCTGTAAATACTTACTAAAACCTGTGAATCATTTTAATCAAGTCCATCATCATAGTGAAACTCGGTTGCATTCTCCTGCTAACATCATGTCAACCTTCATACAACAACGTACCAAAACGTGCTTAGACTTTGAAGAAAAATGTTGTGCTTCTTCAGGAATCTGTGTGTGAGCAACAGCTAGTACTTTCTATGTTGATTTTCTGTTATCTTTAAAAACATTCACTTGATAGCAGGATATCTGATTCTTAAGTGCTTATCTAATCTACTTACTCTTCCTCTTCCTAAAATCACAGCTGTGCTTAGGCTACTGTAATAGTTTGTCCCAGGATGTATTCTGAGGTCATAAAGAAATGGTCAGTGCTGGAAGATGCAACCTTTATTTGTGTGAATGACTCTTAGCCAAAATGGTTGTCTTCTAGACTAAATGGTGGCACAAACATGGAAAACTGGGATCTTCAGCGACAGAGTTGCAATTTTCAGCAACTCTCAAATACTATAGAGCCCTGTCAGATCCTTTATAAATTTTAATATATAGAATGGTATTCTCCAAAGTGCTTTATAAATATCAGCTATCTTATTTGTAAGGGAAGGATAAGCCTCTGGTAAACAGAATCTGAGACTGTAAATTCAATCGTTGCCCAAAGATTGAGGCAGTTTAAGCAATATTATTTTTCAAAATTTTGATTTTTGGAATTCTTTTAAACAGGCTAAAAGATGGTCTACCTGCTGCTGAAAAGTGTGCCCGGTACATGGTTAAAGACTATTCGTTAATCGTCAAGGATGTTGCTGAGGAAGATGCTGGAAACTACACTATAATACTGAGCATACGGCAGTGGAACTTGTCTAAGAATCTTACAGTCACTCTTACAGTAAATGGTAAGTTTACAGCATGTTCCCATGCTTCTCCTGAACATGTAAATGCTAAATTTTCATTCAGCTAGATTTTCATTGATCTTGCACGGTTCAGGTCATTTTTCTTACTGACTTTCATGGACCCAAATCCAGGCCCCATATGCAGGGTTACAGACCTACAGATCTTGGAATCAGAAGATATACACTGGTTTTCATTAGAAGGGTTTCTGTCTTCCACGGTCACATACTTGTTCCTGATGACTTAAATATGTTACTAACCACTCATCTGACTTGACTTAGGCCTGCTGTTTTTCTTTGTTCTCCTGGGGATTTTTATTATTACTCACCCTGCAGGAATGTAGTATTTTCATGATCATGCAATACATTGGAAATGAGCTGGTTTTAATTGCTTACCAATTTTTACCCTTTACAGTGAAACCCCAGATATATGAAAATGCTGTGTCTTCATTCCCTGATCCCAATCTGTATTTACTGAACAGCAAACAAGTGCTGACATGCACTGTGTATGGTATTCCTCAGCCTAAAATTATGTGGATGTGGTATCCCTGTAGACAAAACCTTTCTAAAACAAGGTAGGACAGTTTCCTTACTTCTATTTAGCATGTCTTCCCTTAGTATTATATTTAAATATTTACTTTTTTACAAGAATAAAGCTTGTCATGACCATTGCTTAGTTAGTAGAGTTTGTATATTTTTAATCAATGTGGTTTTTGGTAAATGTGTAGGCACAATGCAATTTTTTCTGCATCATTATTTGAAAATGGAGGGCAGAGTTGTTATTTTATATTGCTACTTAGGTTTATTTACAGTTCACTACTATCCATGCATGCAATGTCCAGAGGCAATAATTGCTTTTTAATTTTTATGAGGGAACCCTTGCAGACAATGTCTTGCAAAGTTCACACGCTTTCCCATGGAGGAGATTTCCGTGCTTTCCTCCACGTGTTCCTCCATGCACAGTGATTCTCGTGTGTGGCTGCTTCTGAAATTCAACAGAAATAATCTTAAAGATTTTTCCATTATGAAGGTCAAATCTCTGTTATAATACGTTGGCTCGTAGATTCAGTTCAGCAAGCCAAGTGTGCCCAGCATTCTCCAGATGATATTTCAACACGGTAAAATATAAATGGCACCATACAAGCTTACTTGATGCTGATGTAGCGCTTAACTAATCCTCTTTTATATTTAAGCTTTCTTTTGAACTCTGTTTCTTACGATTACAAGTTTGTGTGTTGACTCATTTATCCAAAGCTCTTCCCGAATCATGAAATCTGACACAATCTTAATGATTAACACTCAACCTCCACAATGGCATTAGCGTTAAGCTACTACTGGAGAGTTCAAACATGCAAGGTATTTGGATCACAGCACAACGAAGATATTTAAAAATCTAACAAAAGTTTAGGAACCAATGTTTTCTCAGTTTCGGTTGAGGTTAATAATTTTACATAGGATTTAACTTCTTTAACTCTTTCATATAATTGGGTTTTAGTTGGTTTTAGAACCAATCTGGCCAAACATTTAAGCACATGCTTAACTGCAGGGATACAAGACACCTCATTCAATTAATAGGACAAACATCTCATTTCAAATTAAGGGTGCTTGTAAGTGCTTTGTGATCAGTGAGAGAGTGGTCAACACTTCCTAGAAGCACACATAGTTTTTCCAATTACGGCTTGCTTTGGGATTATGCAAATGGCTGGCTTTCTGTGCCCTTCTCACCAAGAGGTGGCACTAGCAATCTCTCCTTTTGCTGGAATAAGTATAACCTGAAATTCTCCATTTCAAGGACAGGTGAGGGCTGCATTTCCTCTATCTCTTATGTTACCTTCGAAGGACAAGTTGCAAAATTCTGAGTATTAATTTATTTTTGCTTATAGGTGCAAGGTGTAAGAGAAAAGAAATCACAACATCTTTTAAGTAGAGAAACCCTGTGAAAGGCATATATGAAAATTTTCAATCTTTGAGGGTTTTTCAAGTGTTTATGCATCTATGGATGCTCTGGATTGAAATCACGGTGTGGCACTGATAAAACAGTTGGTTCTTCTTTGGGAGTTGGGGTGGTGCTCGTCCATTGTCAAATATTTCCTTCTGTTAACAAGCACAGATCTGCACAACAGCACAGGAGAGCATGTCATCAGAAATATAAATCAATATCCGCAAGCAGGTGTTTAATAATGTGCTAAACTGTAGACTCAATTAAATGCTAATTAGAAGTGTGTTTGAGAAGGTGATCAAAGCAGAAATGTAACAATTTGAATCAGCTATTGGCTCTGTTACAAGGTTGTTTCCAGACTTGCTTCCAAATTGCCTTCATAATTGTTCTATGACAATTCTCTTTAACCCCCTCCCCTTCCTTCTCCTTTAAATGCTTGTTGAAGAAGTAGTCTGGAGAACACCGTTTTTAATGCTTTGCCTAAGAGGAGTGGAATGACTCCCTCTGAATAATATGGTGACAATTAACTATCGCAGAATGGCAGAAATACCTGAATAATTACATTTTGTCTCCTGCTCCAGGAAGGGAGCAGAGTGCCTGAACAACAGATTTAAGGTGCATATACCTTGTGCAGCAGGTAAAAAAAATTATCTTATTCTGCCATTACAGCATTTCTTTGGATTTACCTGCCCAATGTTAAGTTTCCAAGGCTAAAATGTTACTCTATTTGTGCTCAAGTAGTGCCTGTTTCTGTGCACAAGTGTACCTTGTACCTTAAGTTGATAAACCCCCACAGGTTACCATTATTCAGTGTATGGCAGTAGGGATTCTTATCAAGTTTCTGAGTCCCGTGCCATGGACAGAGCGCACACTCCGAGTAAAAAGATGCTGTTGCTGCAAAGACCTTGTAGAGCACAGATCTGTTTGCTTCAAGATTTGTATATGTTCTTAACTTTACATCACTTGAGTACTCTCACTGCAAGCTGGGGAATGACGCATACTGCATAAATTAGATGGGTTTATTTTTGAAGCACTGTTGCCTATGGGCTCCTTAATAGAAACCATTAGGTTATCTGGCTGCTTCTTTCAATTTTTGTTCCAGACAGTATTTCTATTTCAAAAATCTAAAAATACCTCAGTGGATTCCATTGCTTTTAAATAAAATGCAGATATATTTTAATGCTTTTTGATTAATACAGTCAATTTACATAACTCTCCTCTCTACATCATTCAGGCCAGTAGCAGGAGGCCAGCCAAATTAAACAGTTTCCATAGTTTCCTGGTAGCAAATTTAAAAAAAAAAACAACAAAACACAACTATAAAATTGCTCAACAAATTTGACTTTTTGGAATGTGGAGAGATCAACGTCACTGAAATTCCTTGTTCTTTATTTTCTCTTAAAATTACTTTGCTTAAACTAACTCTGTTGCCATTAAATAACCTTCTGTTAGCTAGCTAGTTTGTTAGTTAGCTAAGTAGATAGATAGGTGGAAAGATTCTCTCCCGATATTCACCCCAGCAAGGAAATATAGAAGAGTCAAGAAAAACTGGGGTTTTTCTGGGGCAAAAAGTAATGTTTGGGGGTTTTTTAAAGCTTATGCAGAGCTAGTAAATTCAGAGATGGCAGGCAAAAGAGAGTAGAAGATGCAAAGAAAGTTAAAATAAAATGCAATTCAAAAAATTAAAAGTTAGTCTTTCTTAAATTACCGAGAAACTTCTTTTCCAGTGCTATCTTACTCCAGCTTACTCTGCTGCTCTGTAGCAGACACGTACATTCCCAGGGTGGGCAGCCCCCAGTTGCTTGGTGGATATAGCAGAAGACAGCCTGTGGGACACTTGCCCCACAGTGTCCATCAGCCTCCTCGGCCTCTTTCCTACCACCCTGGAGTTGTTCTTTCTGGCCTCGTTTTTGCTCAGGTTGGGTTGTCAGCAGAGGGGCAGCCAGCGGCAGGGCTTGCCGAGGGTCTCTGAGGGCAGCCAGGCTGGGCTCCACCTAAACCTCATCAGCTCTGAAGCTGCAGAACGAGCGCCTGCATGCTGGGAATGTGCTTGATGTTAATGGTTGTTGACCTGAATATCTTCAGCAGATTTGTGTTTATCTTAAACTGGTCTGGCAGAGATTGCCAGGAAAGGCACGTGGGATACTGAGATTGCTCAGTGGAAGCACTGTTTCCTCAGCGGTTGTGCAGTGTCATTTGGGGGCAGTTTCTCTCTCTGGACATTTCCGTGTGGGCAGTTCAAGAGAGATCTTCACTGTGCTCTGCCCAAGGTTTGACCGATTGAGCCTTCAGAAACTGCAAACAGATGCAACACTGAAATTTTACCTTGGGTGTTCCAACTTTCCCACCACCTTGCTGCCTCCCTCTTTCCTTAAGCTATCGGTTTTGTTTAGCCTCAAACCGAATAGCAGATTACTCTTTTACAACCCTGCCATCACGTCAGTCTGCGTTTTTTGGCTTTTGGTTTTTTTTCTCTCTGTATGTGTGCATAAGGGAGAGAGAAACATGACGGCATTGTGGAGATACCTACAAAACCAAAGTCATTGGAAAAACTGGTACCTGATTCTCTGCCCCCTTGACTATAGTGTCAGGATATGAACTCTTCGTGGTGGTAAAACCACCCGAATGGTGGGATTGGGAATGAAGGGGCTGAATACCTGACGTTGAGGACAGAAATGGGCAGCAGGGACCAGGGGCTGTGCAGCAGTGCCTAAGCTGGTACTGCTGCAAAGAGCCAATCTCAGGAAACCACGATGTTTGTAATGCTCCGATGTGGGTCCATGCTCCTCAGTGGAATCACTACTGGTTTAGCACAGAGTGATGAGAAGGGAATATTACTTCCCTTCAAGGCTTGTCTGCAGTGTGAAGGTAGGATCATATGAATTATTTTCTACAGAAATAGCTCTAGCTCTCCAGCACTGCACAGGGAGGAAGAGGTGCGTGTCATGGATCTCAGCGAGGCAAAAAATAGAGGTTTTCCTTGAAACTTCTGCAGAGATATAGAAAGCCTGAAACTACCGTAATGAAAGTGCATGGCCAGACTCCCACCAGCTTCAGTGAAAGAGGAGGCAGGCCATGTGTGCATAGCAGTCTAATTGCATTTCTGCATTGTTTATGTCAGTGTATTAATAAGGGATTGAAAGGCAGAATCATTAGGATGTGCTCAGATAGATTATTGGGGGAAACCAGATTTGGAACATCAGTGAGGTATGTAAAATGAACAAGTAAAGAACAAATGTTAATTGTACTTAATTAGAAATGTACTGAACCACCCAAATTTAATTGTTGGATGTCTGCAGACATTGATGCCCATTAGGTTGTCCGCAGTGACTGTTTTTGTTCCCCATGCCACCTTCTATTTTCAGGAAGGGGAAGTCTGAGTCCTTAGAGCTGGTAAAAGTAGGTCAGATGCCATTAATAAACAGGTAGTTCAAAAATGCCTTTGTTTAATTTGACATGTGGCCAGATCCTCAGCTCTAAATTCACACTGGCTGAGGATCTGGCTGGTGGCCTTTGTGCCTTCCACTCTCTATTACAAGAAAATCCTCTTACAGTGGTCTAGTAACGTAAAGGTCCTTAAAATGGGTACATGAAAAAATATGCTAGCTATTCCCTTATTTTTCTATGGTTGGGGAA